TAGGTTATGAGGGCGCCATATACTCTTACTTAACAGGCTGCGCGATGTTCACGCGCAGATTTCTGCGCGGCAATCTGGCTAACGGCGGCGAGTAGCTCTACAAGCATAAGAATGTTATGTTTAGGATGTATACCGCTGACTTACCGCTGACTTCGATCAGCCGTTGTAAAAGTGACATCCATAGTGATTGGTTGAATACTTTACACAAAAATGGCAAAACATTTGTTGAAGTTTGAATGCTATTTACGAAAATTACTATGTTTAGCATTCAGCAAAATATTCGAATGCTCATAAAATTTCGAATATCCAAAATTTTCAAGCTGTGAATTCAGTAAATAAATGACTTTAAATTTGATTTCTTAGCTACTATTGGGTTTGATAGACAAATATCGAAAATTCTAGTTTTTCTCAAAATTCCTAATGTAGGACCCCTGTTACTTCGAAATAAGAGGTTACACAAAAAAGAGGCCCATCCTTTTTTCTAAGAACAATTTGTACAGCATATTGTGATGTGTTACTACTTGGTGAGCTTCATTTTTTAAAATTGTTTTGCTTGTGCTAAACCAATTTCTATATCACTTACTCTCTGAAACCTAAGAGTGTACTGATTCGACAAGGCTTCCATGCGTAACACAGAATGAAAGTAACTGGTTGGATAAACTAGTTTATAACATTTTTTGTTCTTCTTTCAAATTGGTTGGGGCAGAAATGAGTTTTAGGTTTTATCAATTATTAAGAGTCTACTTGTTCGTAGTTCTCTGTTGCAAACCGTATTCTTATGGGACAAAGCAAAGTCGTATAATAGGAAAATAATGAGTTAACTTATTTGAAGTTCGTAAGGACCACTAAAACATGTTTCCTTGAGGGAGCAGTTTCTTATTAGATTGAAGAAAACATTTAGTTGACGACAATCTCTTCGAACTCGTCAGCAATTTTAGATTTAATCGTTTACCATGCAAATTTTAGGAATCACTTCGCTGCATTGAACTATTCCTCACTATGTGTTATACAATGAGCTCGCGGAAACAGGAGCAAGCTCGTCAGAGACGAAGGGAGGCAAGAATTTCGTACACAGCAGAAATGGGAGAAGTTAGTTCAGCGAAGGTGCCGGAGAAGGAGGAACGAGCTCAGATAGTCGAGGATTTCTCACCTCATGTCACATTTTATTCCGTGCGAAGATCATATCCGGATAGTTATTATCCAAGAGCTAATTCGTTACCGCCTCCTTCCGCGAGAATGCAGAGGAAGAGACACCGTTCTGAACACAGAACCCCGAATCAAATTGACGTGCCTCGTTTGAAATTGCACAGAAAGTAAATGGAACTATTACTTTAACGGTTTAAAAGTCAAGGCTTTCAAGAATGGTCTCTTTTATCTAGTATTTCATGTTCTTTTACTGTTGCTTCACCTCAATGTTAGATAACAAATGTTTTTAGAATCTGTTTTAATAATAAGAGAGTTTCTTCAACTCCTTTACTAACTTGTAGGTCAAGTACTCCGTGCTGTGATTCAAATGCCCTGTACATTATGTTGTAAAAAAAATCTGGTAATCATTTTGTTGGCATGGATGTATTATCTCCAAATGGACGTGCAAAAAGATTGAACATAAAAAATTTCAGTAATTTGAATCTTACAGTTATTTTTGTACTCGTTTCATAGTAGTTCTTAGGCTTATGCTTAACATTTCATGTAGTTTTCATCCGTGAAAAATTTAATTAGGATTTCATGTAGTTTTCATTCGTGAAAAATTTAATTAGGAAATTTCATGAAAAAATTGCACTTAAATATAGCTATAATATAAGCTAATAATGATAATATAAGAGTGAAATGAAGCGAGTTACAGAAGTTTCACTTGGATTTTCAGATTCAAATATCAGAGAAAACAACTTTTGCTTGGACATCTATTAAATAGCAGTATTCAGGTACTATCTTTAGCAAAGGCTATAGACGTATTCTTAAATATTACCAAGATA